GACCTAATGGCCATTGGGCAGGCACTACATTGTCTTCCTTCATCAATACTACGTCCCCAACTTTTATATTTCGAGAGGGATGTCTCCATTTATTAAAACGATTCAATTGAACAAGATACTCAGCAGACCAATGCTTCCAAAAATGCCTCACAATTGACTGACATAAATTCCAACGATAAAGTAATGTCACTGGTTGCTGAGTTATTATAGGCGGGTCAGGAATAAAATTGACTGAGAAATTCCAACGACGAAGTAATGTCACTGGTTGCTGAGTTATTACAGGTGGGTCAGGAATAGCAGTCAACGGTGTACCAATAAGAAAGTGCCTTGGCGTAAGTATCTCAGTTCCTTCATTATCTGTAGATGGAATAATTGTCAAAGGGCGGCTATTCAAACACGCCTCTACTTGAGTGAGTATTGTGGTGGCTTCTTCAAACATCGTCAGTTTCACGTTGCTAGTCACTTTCTTGAGATGCATTTTCACACTCTTCACAGTAGCTTCCCATAGTCCCCCGAAATTAGATGCTCTTTCTGGTATGAATCTCCAATCAATACCTACAGAATTACAAAATTGAGAAACACTACACTGTACTTTTTGATTACATAGAAAATCATTAAATTCTTTTAATTCATGGTTTGCTCCAACAAAGTTGGTCCCATGATCACTCCAAATCTGATTTGGGTGACCACGGCGAGCAACAAATCGACGCAAACAAGCAATGAATGCTTCACTTGTCATATCTGACACTAGTTCCAAATGAACAGCTTTCACATTTAGTGATACAAATACAGATATATAAGATTTGATTAAAACTGGTCTTCTTACATGACCATATTTAATATATAGAGGGCCTGCAAAATCAATACCGACATTTGCAAAAACCATACTAGGATTGATTCTCTCAGCTGGCATTTGCCCCATCAATTGGTTATTACTTCTAGCAGACAGCCTTCTACAAATGCACACTCTCGCGTGATAGAACAAGCAGCTTTTCTTAAACTAATAATATGATATCTACAATTCAGTGATGTCATTAGTAGTGTGGGCCCTGCATGTAATAACTTGATAAGTTTAGACTGAATAACCATCCTCACTATTGGATGTTTTTGGTGTAATATGATAGGATACCTCTTAGAATAGGATATCCTAGCATTAGATAATCGACCTCCCACTCTTAAAAGGTCATGATTATCAAGAAATGGATTCAAAACCGATAGATGGCTACTCTTAATTCTTTCCCTTGATATACGAGTTTTTATTTCATTATGAAAATAATCTCTTTGAGATATATATAAGCAATACCATTCTGCACTATGTATTTCAGACAACAATAGATATGATGTCCTTGCCTTATTCTTGCTTCTACAATTTTAAATGAAATGAGAGCCTAACGCAGTTATACAAAGTAATTTGTCAAAAGATGAGAACTTGTCAAAAGGCAATATAGGGCTAGAAAAAGAGACATTTGCTGCAAAAGATACAATCTTTTCTTCTTCAGGAATGGTTGCTTTGTATACTGGAAAATTAGGCCAGTTACTCTCCTCATTCATTAACCATGAAGGTCCCTTCCACCACAGCTCATTTGTTGTCATCTCCTGAGGAAACAAGCCCCTAGAGGGTAAATCAGCTGGATTCTCCACTCCTGGTACATGCCTCCAATGATCAGCTGGTATTCAATCTATAATAGATGCAATTCTATTCCCGACAAAAACTTTAAAGCGTCTAGGACCCTCCAACCCATTCAAAACAATAATACTGTCTGTCTAGGCATATACTTGGGAAATAGATAATTTTAAAAGATTTTTAAGATAATGCAATAATTGAGATAACATTAAAGCTCCACATAGCTTCAACCTAGGAATAGACAATCTCTCGATGGGTGCAACCCTAGATTTTGCTAACACTATTGAGGTACCAATAGTACCATTCAAGTCTTGAGAACGAAAATAAACTACAGCCACATAAGCATCCTCAGATGCATCACTAAAGCCATGAAGCTGTAATCTATGCAAGTGAGTAATCTCAGGGAAATAATATCTAGGAACACGAAATCCTGAAAGGCTCTTGAGCTCAGATTCCCACCTTAACCACACTTCAGTAATATAAGCAGGAGCTAGCTCATCCCAGCCTACCTTTGATTCCCAGAGACGTTGCAAAAGAATTTTGATCTTTATAGTAGTAGAAGAAAATAGGCCCAGAACATCAAAAACTTTAGCTATGTTAGATACAAGAGTGCATTTTGTCAAATTAGAAGTGGATAGAGTTTTGGAAACTGTGATGCAAAAACAGTCAGATCTGACATTCCTCTCAAGACCAAGTGTCTTAGTGTATTCTAAATCAGGATCTGAGATAGTGTGTACCTCCTGTGTATCTATGAGATCAGGCTCAATAGATTCAAGTACCTGAAGGACATTATAGTTAGACTTCCTAAGTAAGAAACCTCCCTTAGCAAACAATTCTTGCATTTCTTTCCTTGAATGAATAGCTTCAACAATGCTATCTGCTCCTATCAAACCGTCATCAACAAAAAAGGACTCATAAACCATCTTAGCAGCCATGGGTATTCAGACTCATAATCCATTGCATTTTGCTTGACACTCATATTTGCAGCAAAGCAAGATGCTGAAACTCCAAAAGTGAGTCTAGTCATACAATAGTCCTGAACAGTATCACTTTGCTTAAATCTCCAAACAAAACGATGCAAGTCTCTATTTCCAAGATCTAGCTGAACTGCTCTTTATATCTTGCTAACATCAGTAACCAATGGAATTCTAAAAAACCTGAACCTAACCAAAACATCTAGCAACTAAGAATCAACTGTTGGGCCTACCAACAATGTATCATTAAAGGAAATTCCGGTAGAGGATTTCGCCGAAGCATCAAAAACTGCTCTGACTTTAATAGTAGTACTAGAGCTCTTGTATACTATGTGCATGGGAAGATAAAAGACTTCACTGACATGCTTATCAACATCAGAAATGGGAACTGGCTCCGCATGTCCTAATTCCAAGTACTCTCTCATTACCTATCTGTTTCACCAAACTGCCCTTTATAAATCAAAGAATGCTCAAGAGATAAAAACCTTATGGCAGCTTGTGCCCTGGATTCTCCCAATGCTTCAGAACCAGCTCTTATTGGCAGTGAGACAACGAATGTACCACTGTGGGTACGAAAGTGATTGTCTCGAAAATGCTCTACAACTATACGTTCCTCCATAGACATAAATAAATTGTCGGATGCAGCTTTCTCAATTTCCAAAACTTCAAAAGAACATCATTTAAACAGGAGACAGACACGTGACTCATTACTCTAGTGCTAGTATGACGTGGCTTGATCAGTCCACCAAGTACCCAACCAAATTCAGTTTCGAATGCAGTCGGTGTACCTGGGGGACCAGTCACATGCCCTTTAAGCATGCACTCAATAAAGACATCGATTCCCAATAAGACATCAATTCGACCTGGTTGTCCAAAACTGGGATCAGAAAGAGTCAACCCAGATATATGATGCCATCCTGAATCAAATGATACAGGCTCTACAGGCAGATCACATGTCAATTGAGGCACAATAATGGCAGCAATGCTAAACTTTCTCTAATAGGAGAGGCTGAAAATTGTGAAACTGATTTATTAGTAATGCAACTAGACAGCCCTTCAACCCCTGACACAGATATCATCTGAAATGTACGAGGTAGATGCAATAATTGAGCAATACGCTTGGTTATGAAAGAGGCTGAAGAAGCATTATCCAAAAGACGTGCTTCAACAGTGGAACCATCAGGACCAGTGAAAAGTACCTTACAAGTCATCAAGAGGCAATCAGAATTGAGCTTTACTGCATTATTAGCAGATACTGGACTTGGTACAGAGGCTCGCTCAGAACTGCGAGTCTCAATGTGTAACAAAGTATGATGCAAACCTTGGCACCATTTACACCTGTGTAGAGACCTACAGTTCTTAGCCTGATGACCATTTGTCAAGCAGTTAAGACAAAGTTTATTGGCATTGAATAATAATGCAATCTTTTGATCATGCGGTAATTCTTTAAATGTTTGACAGACATATAATGGATGTTTCTCAGTTTTACATGATATACAAATAGATGTAACAGGGCAATGAAAAGATGGGCAATGCTTAGGTTGCCTCTGCCCCTCTTTGCCTTCCCTCTTAGACACAATCGGATTGATTGACTCAGAGGCTTGTGCTCTATGGTCAATAAATTGCAATATATCATTGTAATGTGGCACATCAATATGAGACTGACTATGTCATTGCCACTCAAACATATTAGTAGCATCTAGCTTTAATTCAATAATAGAAGTTATAAATGAGGCTGAGGGTTCGTGACCCATGGACTTTAGAGCACGAAGGTGCTGTTGAATAGTGTCATAGAGCTTATGCAGCTCTTTCCCACTACCATCTTTCATGGAGGGAATTCAACTATACTTTTTACATGCATTTGATGAATAAATCTAGGCCTGTTGTAACGGGCCTTTAAACAGTCTACTGCTTCATTATAATGCTCACCTGACCTAGACAATCCCTCAATTACGCTCCTTGCAGTACCATCCTTTAGAGACTGTCTGAGATAGACGAGCTTCTCGGTGTTAGAAATATCAGTCCAATTATAAACAGCCACACAGAACTGCTCCCAAAATGGAATCCAGTGCAAGATCTTCCCGTCAAAACTCGGCATGTTCAGCTTCAGTAGCTTCACTCCAGTACCTGCACCAGGTGCAGGGTGAGTCGGTGAAGAGCTCCTACCTCTAGTAAGATGCCTTCTAATGGCATGAGAGCAAGAGAACAATCGCCCTTCAATGTCCGCGTGGAGCAATAGCAAAGGGTCATCCTCAGGGAAGTCCCAAATAGTAAGTAGCTCCTCACATTGGTGTGAGAGTTGGGTTTCGTAACCAACAATACGCTGTTCGTATTCCTGAAATAGTGCAACGTCCTCCCCATCATCAGGAAGACCAGTAATATCCGACTCCAAAGAAGCAACACTCCTTTCTAAGTGATGCATTCTCCTCGAGATGATCACCTTTCCCATTCGCTCAGCAGCAGACAAACAGTCTCAACCAATAG